TAAATCCTGCTGCTGATAACACCTTTCTGCACTCATTGACAACTGAAACAAAACATATCAGCTTTCCCATCAAAACAACTTTGTTTATAAAGAGTCAGGCTCTATCAGTTAATGAATACAACATGCAGCTGTGGTGATTCTGCTGTCATTATCAGGTATTGAGTCTGTTTCCTTAAGCACCCCAATTCATGCAGCAAGATGGTCAACTGGTATTGACACATACAAGCTACGTTGCTCTTTTAGTCAAAGCACCTCACTATCATGCAACACTTTCATTACACCACTTAACCTCTCACCTTACAAAGAATAGCAGTATAACAATGATAATGTTGTGATCTTTAATTGATGGCTTGATTTTACCATAATTCTGTATCATGAGACAAATGATGAGATTTTCAGTGAATCCCTTGTTTCCCAAGGTCTGAGTCACATTTGTCTCTAAGGTTGTTGTCGCTGTTCATCCTTGGACTGGATCATGTCTTGATATTGTTAGAAGGTTTGTGTTGAAATGGCAATTAAGTGTCTCAAGTTGTGTATATACTGTAAAACTAATTCCAAATATATTTAAAACACTAGTTTAAAAAGATGAAGAGACAGCAAACAAATTTTAAAAGTTCGCCAGACTCTGAAGCTACAGGGATAAAACATACCATGGTAAGGCTAGGGACCATTGTTCACAAAATCAATGAACTTCCTTGCTGCAGATTTCATTACATCAAGTGAGGATGCCTACAACAAAACAAAAAGCACAAAATGTTTTTTGTTAAGAACTTCACTTTTTTTACATCTGGAAGATACTAATATATATTCCTAATATATATCACCCCTGAATCAAGCATTAAATAAAGGTCACAATAATAAAGAAAATAGGCAGTTAAGACACCAACATATATATGGAAATAAATAACCAACATATGCATATGGCTACTGATATGGAACAATTTTTTAATAGCACTGAAAGAACCAGGTGTTGCGTGATGATGCAGAAAGAAAGACTTGACTTCTTTTCTTGAGGACATGTGCACCATTTGCAACTTGTGTATAGACGTTTGCAATGGAAGTTTATCACTTTTTAATGAATAGTTATAGATTAGTGAATATTTCAAATATCAGTTTTCTTGGAACTAAGCAATATTAAATTGATAAATAGAGCAGATTTTTTTTCAATTTTATCATTGCGAGGAATATCAGGTAAAACTCGGCAGACTCTGTTGTGGACGAAGAGGTCATTCATCTTCTATACCCTCACTCAACTCAACAGGACAACATAATGGCTTCACTGCCATGGAGGCAATAGCAATAAAAATGATCACTGGCTAAAGAAGCTCTTGATTGTTAAACAACTTCTCTTTGTCAGCACCTTATGAATTGTATGAGGAACAGTATGGAGAATATGCATACTGATGTTAAGGTGCAAGGGGTTAACTTCTGTCCTAAATCTCCACACAGCCAAAATCTAATCCAATTTTAAGAATTAATTGAAAAGAAAAATTAATAAATGTATTAAGTTTAAACCGCCCAACTTCAGTCTTAAAATATAAGCAAATTGACCTAAAATCTTGATGCATTAAGTTACCATACATTAATATTACACACACCCATACACAAAAAAAAAAATTATTGTATTCCGACTTATCATATGTTGCACATATTGAGCTTATGTACATAATTAATATAATCTTAGTTTCTCTTTTCTTGAAGGCAAAGCTCACATAATAAATTTATCACTGTTGATTCCGCATTGCAAAACACATCACCCAGCCATAAGCTTGCATTCTGCAAAGATCTCAAGCTGAAATTCATTGCTTGCGATTATGTTTGTTGTAGATATTGCAAGGAAAGTGATGTAAACTCAGATGTAAATGCATCCATGTGGAAGTTGAGACAGAAGTAGTATGAATGCATTGCTACTCTGCAGTCTATAAGATTATAAAATGAATTTGAGACACTGACTAAAAGGTCATGCTGTAAAATAATTGAAAGAAAATTCTGTGTTTGTCATGAATGAAGGAAATTAGAACTCTCTTTCTCTAGAAAATTAACATTTTGGTCCAAATAAACTTACCAATTCATTGCTTTGCACTGCAGTTTCCTTACAAAGGTTGTCAAATTTGCTGCAAAATGAAAGAAAATTATCAGAAATATCTCTGTGGAACCAATCTGCAAACCTTAACTTGTCCAATTCAATTTTTAGAGACCCTTGTCATGTTAATGCTAAGAGGACCACCATTTTAAGTCTAAAATGCAACTATACAATGTTTAGCATTACTTAAAATCTGTTAATAATTACATTTTCCCCAACTGCCACTTGTGCATTCAAAAGTCAAAGTTAAAGTCGAAGGAAAAAAAATACAATTTAGGATCTTATAAAAAGGGGCATGACTCAAAATTAAAGTGCTACAATCAATCTCCAGCTACAAGTAGTTGTTAATTTTTTTTGCATGATAAAGCTTCTGTAGCCTTAATATTCTTGTTTTGATGACTGCAATCAATGACGCTCTATTTGTTCAACATTTATCAATATTCTTTAAATTTTCCACTATAACCCAGCATAGACCACACATTTTGGACGATAACCTGTATGTAAAGATGGCAGTGACTTCCAATTTTAAGTCATGGCAGATTTCTGTGAGATGAACAAGTTGCGCATTCACAGTTTGTGATTTTCCTTTTAAAAATCTATACTTAAAAAATTCAATAATTTAGTGATGCTTCTATATTGACACGTACCTCTTAGTTAAATCTCTCGCCTTGTTTGGTGACCTCAGACAAACTATTAACAGAAATAAATTTAGGCTCACTTCAGAGGATTGTACAAAGTCATTTACAAATATTAATAAAATTCCCTGGGATATGCAAATTATAAATCAAAGTAAAAGGACCACCTTGGGCCCACCTCTTGCATGCTACATTAGACTGCTGTTAAGATTAGATCTAAAAACACCCCAAAATAATCTTCCCAACTTTATTTTGTAAACTTTACTTTTTTATGATCACCCTTATCATATTTGTAGAGCATGATGTAATAGCTCATAACCCATGATGGCTGGAAGCCAATGGGAGTTAAAGGGTTAAAACCTCTACGTCATCCATAATATTACATTGCACATTTTAATTGCTCAGTTGTTTAAATACCTTCTCTACTAGTTCCTCAAAGCAAGTTGAACCCCCTCTTTTGTTCTTGCACTACAAAAAAAAAATAAAATCAAAGTGCTCTGTGAGCAAACTCGTGAATTGACACATGATTTTTTAGATTATGTTTAATGTTATCTGGTTTAGAGAATTTTGTGGTTGATTGTCATATCTAGAGTACGAGCAGTAGTTCAGTGTTCGCTAATGTAGCAAAGAAACAAAGTAACGTTGGGATAAGAAGGCATTACAATTGAAATGATCATGCTATTACATTTGACAAGGTGGATGATGTCATGTGTTTTAAACGTCTATCATTTTTGTTTCTGGCTCAAAAGAAAAGGTTGGAAGTAAATGTGGGTGAAAAGTGAAATTTACTATCTTTCGTTGTAAATATTAGAAAATCAAGGCAATACTGTCTTAATGAAAACATTAACGATTCCCTCTTTATCAAATGAGACAAACGGGAACGAGTTTTGAGTGATATAACTAAGCCAAGCCTGCCACCCTCATTTTGGATCTCCGCCTGGGTAGATTTAAGTCACGTGCTAGGCAACGTATAATCAATAACAAGATAGAATTTCATTTCAGGCCTGTTTATCAATTTTGTGGTGTGTAACTTTCGCATTTAGTACGTTGTAGGTATGTTGAATCTTCAAATTGTCTTGAAACTTAAAAGAAAATTGTTCTTTAAAAATTCACTGAAAATCGTTAGCTAAAATTGTTTGTTTAGGTGTTATTTGATTTTCGTGTTAACTTGTTATTTCGTCAGTCGCCGGCATCTTTTGTTGCTTCACACAGGAAAAACACATGCGACGAAACGTAATGATCAATTTTGTCCTCAATCTCACGCTATAACAGAAAAAGCTTTTATACATCTGTAAATTCCGAGCGCTTCGCAGTAAGTGATATTTTCAATGAATCTTCGGATTGTTTTCAAGTTCAAGGATTGTAAATTACAATTTTATGAAAAACGAAGATTGTTCTGTTATTTCAGTGTGAATCCTTGCATGCCTGCCAGTCGCTGGCGCCGCTTGTTGAAACTAAAACGAAAAAAAAAACTCTTTTAAGATTATCATTGGCTTCTTTTTCATTCCACCACAATTCTTAGCAACAAAGGTCGCCATTTCGTCTGTTTATTGCTCGCCAAAAACTATCAAATGCACTCAAAAGCCTAAAATCTAAAAAAGTTTACAGGAATCGACCAATCGAGCGAGCGAATGCCATTCCCCACATCGTATCTATAACTCGCTCTTGCGCATGCGCGCAATTCACGAGTTAAAAAGCAACATTTCTTCATCAAAAATAAAACTTAGATGACACAATGTACAGTTATTTAGTTGAAAGACAGGATACCATTTTAATCACCAGCTAAAAACTTATTAACCCTTTAATTCCCAGAAATGATTCACATTTAACTTCTCATTATAATATCCATACATTCTCCAGCAAACAGGTAATGAGAATATTCAAACTTATCAGGTAGAAGTTATAATTATGGTATGACACCAAATTCTCCCAAGTAATTTATAAGGAAATGTGTAACAGCCAGAGGGGAGAATTAACAATTAGATCTTGGAAGTTACAGGCTTAAAGGAATCTCTTTACTACCTTTCTGTACAATTTTGATACATACTCTAATTAAAATTATGGCTTTTTTTCATAAAAAGTACAAACATTTGAACATAAAATAACTATTTTCTTTAATTTTTCTTTTTGTCATTCTTCAAGTCCCTGAACAATTGTCTTCGTAGTTGTTTCACCACACCATCTTGTGCCATTACATAGGTGGCTGGTAAAAAAAAAGGTTTACGGTCAACTCGCCGACGGACCAACTCGCCGACACCAACTCGCCGACGTATAAAATCGAG